AGTCATGCACATTTATTTGTTTCGGGTAATTGTTTGTATGAGTATTTGACAAAGTATGATATATACAAAGGCCCAGTGGTCGAGTGGTAGCGTATCGCGTTTCCACGACACAGGTCCGGGTTCTATTCCCGGGTGGGGCAAGTTCGACTCAGCCTTTCATCCCTACTGCAGTGGTTCAATAAATGAGTACCAAGCTTGCTTGGGGACTTAAACATTGGGGGTCTCGCTTCAGACTGACCACCAGACATCTGTCATGCACCTCAACCCTCAATGGTCACATATACTGGTATGGACAAAGTAGGCCCTGGCCCTCATGGGCTGTTGCGCCACTGAGTTTGAGTTTTATGAAAAAACTGTCTACTATATATTAAGGGTTATATGTGGGGCGTACATTTGTGTAGGGGCCTCAAGATGTCTTAAGACGTCCCTGATAATACTTACCGTTTTTGGTTTTATTAATTATCTAAAACAAAGTCGATTCCGCTTTTAACAAATTCTGTCACAATACGCTTCTACCCAATTGCTGTTAACGTTAAATTACTTCAATAAAGATTAACTCCGCAAAATTTTCCATGTACCAAACAGGTAACCTTCATTCTAGATTAAATGAAAATGATAAAACTGGTTCAGCTGTTCTTAAACTGTGGTCCGCGGACCCTCGGGGACCTCCAAAGCTTTTCTAGGGGGTCCCCGAAGATCTCGCATTTAATATTCCTTTACAGACTAAAGGCCTCGTGGAAAAATTGAAAAATGTGCCGTCCTAGACTAGATCACTAAATTAACACCTAATGAAAAAACTTTGCTAGAACTTGTATTTTGATCAAGAATATTAATTCAGTTTTTTTATTGGCAGCAACTACATAGCTTTACTACAATGTAATATTTTCAAAAAAAATAATTCATTGTTTTTTTAAAAAGGAAAAAAGTGGGAAAAAATCTGTATAAGTAGCGGAGGCAGTCTTAAGATTATTGAGGGAACCTTTAAATTATTCAGCCATGTGTTGGGAGTCAGGGAGGTGTATTCAAAATTTCGGGGGTCCGTTATATTACACTGATAGTTGAAGGGGGGCAGCGGCGATCAAAAGTTTAAGAACCACTGAAATAGATTCTTACGATAAATTTTATACGAAAAGATACTTAATGACACCCAACCAGTGGCGCACACATGGAAGGGGGAGGGTCCTCAGGTCAGGACCCCCCCCCAAGTCCTGGTTTTTTTCTCGATTGATTACAATCCTACGTATATATAGTACTTAAAATTTAATCAAGTATTTATTAATAATTATATTAATTAATGCTAATTAATCATACAATAATTAATTTTTTACTCTTTTTTTGTGACCGAAAATTGACAAAATCAAAAGAATATGCTGGGCGGCGTATTGGAGCATGATGCGAGAATAGTGGACTTTCGACCCTGGATTGAAAAATTGCTGTGTGCGCTACTGCACCCAGCAAATTTTACAGTAGACTTTACAAGGAAAGCGATATTTTTAGAAAATATAATCTAGAGGAAATATTTCATCTCTTTATGATATAATTGAGCTTTGAGTCAAACAAGAAAAAATTTAACGTAATGATATGTCACGGATAAATTTGAGCCAAAATATTATTTTACCGTGACTCTCTGTTTTAAGTTAATAGTTTTTAGTAATTTTTTTGCTCAATAATCATGAAATTTTTCAACGTAGATTTGATGAATGTTTTGTGAGTATAAAATATTCATAATGATATTTTTCTGGGAGATCCCACCACACACGTGTTACAAATGTGTTTGCCCACTCACAGAGAGACACTCTTCTACTCGTTTTTTACATTTTAAATCAGACACTTTAACTAATTGACTCTTAGTTGGGGAAATTCCTACTCCCAAATACTCATATTTCATTTCTTGTATGGGATTCGTTTTAAATACATGTATCAAATTTTAGAAGAAAAAAAAACCCAGGCTTTTTTTTACTTTAGATATTATTTATAGTTAAATTTTTAAATTCTGTTAGTAAATAAAACGGAAATTATTCTCGCCTTGTTCCATGAGGAACTAGGGCAAGATGTTTCAAAAAATCGACCAATTTGGTATAAAATAAATTTACAGCTAATGCAAAGCTGCTTAGAGAAAATCTATGTTTTAGGGAAGTTTCATCTATGACAGTCTATTAAAGAAGAGAATTCGTTAAAATTCTACTATATGGAGATCAAAGACGAATGAATCAATCTTTCTGCATCTCATATTTCTCTTAAATGAGAAAGAAAATTTTGTTCTCTTTCCTTGTGATGCCAGTAGAGCTCCTAATATTCGGAACATAAGTGTTATAATTCACAAAATTATTAATTTTTAGAAATACAGGTGCATAACCCTTCAGCTCAAGAACTGTACACGAATACACTTCTGTTAATGCATCCTTGATCTTCAGCGTACTTATTTTACTACTTATTGCAGTGTAATTATTAGTTACTTATTTTAGTCTCAAACTTCTGATGTTCTGCCTCGTTCCCGTCAAAATCAATCCCCGCATAATATATAAAGATAGAGATCGGTTGCAATGGAAAACAAGAATATAACATATTCAAAATAGCATCTGAAATATTTGACTTTCAGGCAGGAAAAAAAAGCATTTGAAAATAGAATGAAACTTTGACAAAGACTGTAGTTCCTTTAAGATAAAATAACTGCATTTCAACATTCTAAACAACTATACTAGAATACTAGAATTACATTAGATAAATAATAAAAATAAGCTGGTCCCAGAAATTTATAAAAGAATTATTGCTGCGAATAGATGTTTTTATGCCTTGAAGAGTTATTTAAAATCCAGTTTTCTCAAATTAAGAACTAAATTGCTTCTTTACAAAAATCCTATAAAATCTGTCCTGCCTTATACATCAGATAGTTGGCCATTGACTTTACGTGATGAGGAAGCTTTGGGAATTTTCGAGAGAAAGATCTTACACTGCATTCTTGGTGGGATCCAAGGGAAATGGATCATGGAGAAGATCTAACTTAGAACTCTACAAAATTTACAAACAACCTGATATAGTAAAATTTGTTAAGTCACAGACTTAAATGGGCTGGTCATCCGGCTAGAATGAATGAAGATTGTTGCTGCAAGAAAATATTTCTGGCAAAGCCCATGGGAAATAGACCTCGGGGCAGACCTCCTCGTTAAGATGGATTGACTGTGTCGAAAAATGACCTAAATATGTTAAAGGTCAAAAACTGGAAAACAGTTGCCAAAAGTAGAGATGCCTGGAGAAAACTTCTGGAGAAGGTCACAATTGGAGAAGGCCACCAAGGGCTGTCGGGCCATTGAAGAAGAATTACATTAACATTCAATAATACTACATAAGCACATACACATTTTTAAGAAAAGGAATCGAAAAGAAAGAACAAATCTAAACATACAAATTCAACTGACCAAAATGAAAAATTATGCTTTCTAGAGCAGTCAACGACTTAAAGGGGTGAAGTAGGGTTTTGATTGCTTTACGTGATCCCAACCTTCCCCTCCAGCAGGAAATTTATACATACTAATGCATAAAAAATTGTAGAAAATAAAACTAGATAGAAATTTTTAAACTAAAAAAATACCCTTTTACAGTTATCCGAACTAATTTGTAACTTAATCTTTTAGTCGCCAAATCTGGAAATGGGATCTGAAATGAGTCGCCAGATACGGGTTGGGATCTGAAAATGGGAAATCATTAATCTTGATGATTCTGATTAGGACAATGGAACAAAATTATTGTATTGTCATCAGTCCTGGAAAAGTGAGCAAAATTTCGAATTAATCTGACCTTTTAAAGTGGGTAAAAATTGAGTTCAAAGGTTCCATTACATACAAGTGAAGCTTATAAAAGAGTGTTAAAAAGAATTAAGTCCAACTATTGTACGCGCATAAGCTTGATTAATCTATTAAACGAGTACACTAAAAAAGAAGACTATCGTATAAATAGTCAAAAAGTTTCAAACTATTTGTTAACATTCTCTCTCCTTCGTAAAAAAGAATCATTGCATTTAGTTCTATAGCTGCAGTAATTCAACATCTTTTCAAAACCCCCCATGAACATTTTTAATAGAAACAACCCAAAATAATGAAGCAAAAACAAATTTCAATCCACATTATTTAAATAAAAAGTAAATTTTAGAAAAATTACGAAGCAATGAAAAATAACAGAGCAGCGTATTCTTCTCAATAGCAAATGTAAATCAGAACACAAAAAGAAACTACAAGTTATACGAGAACAAAGGTCAAAAATATGAAACCGGCTGACAGGCGCAATTCTGGGAGGTTACCTTAACCGAGTGCTTGAACCTTACTGACACCAAAGTAAGCACGTTTTCACAATTCTCTACCTTTCCATTAGAGATGAAAAACACCTGCAGTTCTACATACCAAAGGCAAAACCTTGAACCTTGCTTATAACCTTGATATTTTTCTTTAAAAATATACCAGGAGAAAGTGATTCTCTCGTTCGACCTGCTGTATTTAATAGTTTAATAAATTGTAGCACACATCAAGCGAAGCATTACATTTAATTTTATAATTGCAATGATTTCTAGAAACATGTATTCATTTAAGTAATACAGTTAACTTTTCATACAATAAAATCGTTTATAACACAAAGGAATTTATTGTAAAGTGTTAACCCTCAGAGGACTGAAATAAACTAATAAACTTATAAATTTCCCTCTAAAATTTAAGAGGGAATTTTTCACGTTTACTGGGACAATTTTAATCTATTATCTTCATTTTTCAATTCCTATTATTAGTCCCATCTCTCCTCTTATATATATATATCTTGTTCACATTTTCAAACGTTAATAAAATACTTTTTATTCATCCATTCAAGTTCAAATACATTTTTTTTAACTTGTAGTGTATGACACTTGATATTAAATACAGTTTTTTCAAATATTAATTCATTAATTAAATTTTTAAAAAAGTAACAAACAAAATAATAGTCTAACAGCATGCATAGAAAGGAAAATCATTCGTTGTGTCCCTGTAGCGCAATGGATAGCGTGTTGGACTTCTAATCCAAAGGTGGTGACTTCGTACCTACCTGGGATGGCCTAATTTCTGAGAATGTGATTTCCTTTTTTATTATACTATTTTATTGGAATAATTAAATGTAATTAATGAATAAATATTAACAAACAAACAAAAATAGTCCAACACCCTATATAGAATGGAAAATTGCAAGGAAAATCGCTTTCTATTTTGTCACTTAATAGTGTGATTCTGCCCATGTATATACATATTTATATTAACTGTAAATATTTAATAAAAAGTAACTAAAAAAATTTTCTTTGTTGGCCTAAGTAGGAATCGACATAAACTTTTTTTTATATTACTTGTTTTGTATATGTTCTCACTACAAAAAAGACATACCTACAATTTACTTTTACTTTTTATATGCTCTTAAAATAAATCTTCTCACAGTAAATAAGATGTTAAATCTTATTGAATAATTATCAATAATAAAACATAAGTGTGAAGAATTTGTACAAAAAGAATGAATAACAATCGAGTAGTTAAAAAATAGGACCAAACTTTAAACACTTTTTATTAAGTTAAAAAATGTTCCCCTCATTATATACATATACTGATTTCACTATTTTTCTGAAAAGTGCATATTCCCCATACTTCTCTTTTTGATTCGAACTGATCAGTTTTTTTCTGACGTATATAAAAGTGTTTCATTTTTTTTATTTCCTATACTCTAATGCTACATGAGTTTTTGGTTTTACACAGTAAAAGAAAACGTTACGTATTTATTGAATGTTTCTCGGTTTAAGCTTTTTGCTTAGCTTTGTTAAGCTTTTTGCTCCACCTTTAATTGAAAAAATTCACTCCATTGGTCGAGTTAAAAGTAAACTAGTTTCTTCTTCACAAGTGGATAACGTATAATAAACAAAGATAATCAAATCAACATTAAAAAAATTGGACTTCAAAGTAATAAAAAACGGTACACGTTGGGAGACGAAAATTTGGTCGATTTACATTGATAAACAAAAAGAGAGGCAGATTTTTGGAATTTTGTTCACTTAACAGCTGAAAAATGAAGACATGTTTTTAAAACTAAAGAATTAACACAAATTTTTAATGAAATTAATTTTCTAACACACAAAAACAAACAAAATTCGCAAACAATTTTCATCCAGTTTTTCAAAAAAGTATTCTTTTGAGAACTATATTGTTTATGAACAGAGAGAGATTAGAACCGTTGTGTATATCAATAACTGTTAAGATTCTTTTATCAATCACTAATAAAAATAATTTTAATTTTCACAGTCTTTTTTTAAATTGTTCTCTTTAGTTATTCTTTAAGAATATATAACATACTCACAACTCAAGATACATCATATAATAAGAAGAAACAAAGGAAAGAACTCTCTTTCTAAGGCGGAATTCTATAAAAAGTTTTATAAAATATTGAAGAAAAAAATAAAAACGGGACTTTTCTTACAAAAATATTTTAATAATATCGTATATATCTGAATAAATCTTACGAGAAAGACTCTATAAATGCAATTCAGAGAGTTCTTTAAGGTATCCGACTGCCAAAAATTGACAATTTATGATTTTTTTTTATAGGCCATCTTATTAGCTTTATAAAAATACCAAGTTTATTATTTTCTGTTCACTACAAAAAAACAAAAAAACTACAAGGGTTTTAGTAAACCCATTACTTCAAGCAAAGTGCCATACTTTAAAACGCGTTTTACTCGAAATGTGTTTTTTTTAAATGCTCAAGAAGGAACAGCGATTGCAAAAAAGTTTTGAAAATAATTAACTGAAATTTTTTGTGTATGTTCTGTATAATAGTAGAAGTGCTTTAACCATCAGATTTATCCATCACTGTTTTATTACAAAATTTACAGTCCCTTATGTTAATATAATCACTGTTTTTTAAGCAATTTCATATAATAATTGAGATAAAGTTATCTAATTTTTGTAAAAACTAAAATATCTCTTATTCTTAAGGTCATTTCAAAAATGAATAACATAGCAACACATCATAATTGAAAAGAAATGAAAATTTTTTCAAAAACGTTTGGTACAGAATGGACCCCGTTTATGTTATTTTTTGTAAAATTTGACTCATTTTTTCCCATTTTAGTAAAAATAATTTCCTTTTCTCTCCTTAATTTTAGTATATTTTTCTTAAAAATTACTAAAAAATATAAAAACCACAAAAAAAAAATCGGCATATCTCCCTATTTTATAAAAAGTCGCAAGTAGTCGGATACCTTAAGCACATTTTTAAAAAATAGGGTGCTAAAGATCAGAAGTCTGTTTTCACAAAATGCTAAATATAACCGACGTATTTTTCATTTTTTTTAAAAATTTGAAATAGGAATCAATATAATAATTCTTTTTTACAAAAACTTATATGAACCATATGCACTGTTGAAAATTTTACCTACGTACATGTTATACTAAAAAAAAACCAAGATATTTATTTCAAAAATATTCCTCCTGAAAGATCTGATAATGAAAAGTTTTTACAGTACTTAACAGCTATACAAAGTATGCAAAGCTACACAACAAGCGCAAAATATTTCACGCGGAAAAAAAAATACCCCACCTAAACGTCGACTTCCACTTTACAGAAACTTCGTCAACCCCCTTCTCCACTGCTTCCAAATTATTTTCATCGAACTTGAAACGATCATTAAAAGTACTTAAGACGATGAGAGGAAACTACAAGGGACGAGTTTTTAAAGACTCATTTTGCTTCCAAAAGCTCTCTTTTGCTATAAGAGACGCGAAAATAAATAAACAAATCCCGAACGGTAAGAAAGAGAAAAAGGAGGTACAGAAAGAAAAATCTTCTTTACAAAAAAAAAGTGAAGAGAGAGAGAGTAAAAAAAATTCTTTCCCGTATTTTAAATTACGTAAATAATGCGAAAATGATGGAAGCCTGACACTGCGTTAACTGCCGATGGAGATTATGGCGCCCGATTTCTCAGAATGAACCTCTGGGTCCGCGCGAGGATTTCCCTTTGCCAAGGCGAGGGACCCAATTAAAACGGGAAGATAGCGAAATGGCGTAAGGGGATTAACGCTTTAATCTGCTATTTAAATGTCGCCGTGAGACGCCGTTACCAAGGCAACCGCGTCCCCATTTAAACGCGCCTCGTAATAAACGGTACGGACACGGATATATTAAAACAATAATTTAACCGGAAAAGGAATTGGAAAAGTGTGTTTCGTTCGTTCGGTCCGAGAGTTGAGATGTTTACATGCTCCTCCTCAAAAAGCAGCAGACGATATTCTCGTTAGCTGTTGCCAGCCAGAAGCTGAACTAAATCGCAGTGGAAAATGTTCCTTGGAGGAGATTTGGCGCTGAGAAGTTCTTAACGAGCGATAGCTGTTGATTGTTCCAAAGGAAAAGGCGCCCGCCTTTCATAAGATCAATCTCCGATGATCAATCAAGTTTAAAAGAACAGATTTCCCGTTAGTAGGAAGCGTTTGTTCGCAATTGGCTGCGAAGGAGAAGATCTATTAATTCTAAGAGGAGAGAATTTTACATTACGCGCGGACCTAATAACGGACACGGCAAATAAGAATCAACATTAGTCTGATTTTGCTCGTCTTATTCCGCATATGTTATTCCAGCTCCCCTGTCTCTTTCTGATAAGGACTTAGCGGTAAAAAGCTGCGTTTGACAGTTGCTCAAATGAGGTACAATTTATTTCTCGCCATTTTCTTGCTTTCTTTTTTAACAGCGCCCCCTGGATTGTCTCGAGTGATGCGCTTAAACGGAGGTTGCAACAATCACGAACTTGTGTCGCCAAAAGTAAAACTTTTTGATATCTTACTACACAGGTGGACACTGAAACGTTTTAGATGCCTTCTTAATTTACAGCATACCAGATGTGGTCATTGTATTTGAGCAAATCAATATTGTTTGTGAACAAATATAAAATCTTTTCAGCAAAAATTATTTTAGTATTTATATCTATTTCGCAAAGAAAGAAAATAAAATTAAGAATTTTTAAAAAGTTTTAAATAGTATTCATATAGATAAAAAAATATTATTCCAAGGAAATTAGAAATGGAATTGAATCAAATAAACGTAGGTAGGAAAATTAGGTGGAATTTACTCTTCATACTTGACGAAATTGGAATAATTTTTTATATCAAATTTATAATCGTGAAATTCCACTCCTATCTTAAATTCCCTTTAAAAAAATCAATTAAATTAATTCAAAAATTAATTTGTAATAAAATTTGGTTGCTTCATCGAATAATTATTGTCTATAATCATCAATCAGATTCATAAAGACTAACTATACGGAAATTTCCATTTTCATGCATTATTAGTTAATTACACAAATACAAACATACTAAAAATCGCAGAAATCCAAGAAAGTTGTAAAAGCAACCTATGAATTTCACATTTTTATCATTTCAAAGAATTAAGGAATTTCTACTTATTTGAAATCAGAAAATAAAATCTTTGAATCAAAATTAGTGATTTAAAAAAAAATTTTAAATTTCAAACTAAAAATGTAATTTCTTTTAATTTTATTTTTCAGGAATGATAGCTACGGTTTGGTTACCTAGTTAATTGCAAGATCTCATAATGAATAGCTAGCAAGCTTGAATAGCATACTGTTGAAGATCGCACAGTATCGGAGTGTTGATGCACTTTAAATATGCCAAGGCTCAAGTCATCAAGTTGGGGCGTGGATATGGAGGGTGCGGTGTCAGTAAAGATATCACCCTTTTTACTTCACAGTTATTAAAAATTATGAAGTCTGCCGCCAATAGTCCACGTACTGTTTCTAGTTAATAAAATACATATTGCAAAAAAAAAAGCATCTTAAATATTTTGAAAAATTAGTTACTATAAATTCAGTTCTTCAGCAGATTTTCATCTAAATACAGCTCTGATTTTTATTACGAACATATTTTTCATAAATTTTTAAAACAGTTCACATTTAATATTATTTTGGAATTAAATTCCGAAAATTCCATTATCAAGTTCGTTACAAGAAAAAGAAAAAAAGAACTCTAGTAAATCGTCGGGGAAAAAACGACAGTATTTTATATAATTT